AAAACTGAAATATCTAAAAACTGAGAATCTAAAGAATTGAAAAATCAAAAAAGTGAAGTCGAAATATCGAAACCTTAAAAAAATCGAAAAATTGAAAAATCAAAAACCTGCAAAATCGTAAGATCAAAAAATTGAATAATAAGTAAACTGAAAAATCCCAAAACTAAAATGCCCAAAAACTGAGAAATTAAAAAATTGAAAAATTGAGAAATCGAAAAATCAAAAAAGTTAAGTAGAAAAATCGAAACCTGAAAATATAGAAAAACTGAAAAACCTAAAAACCTGAAAAATCAATTAATTGAAAAATCGACAAATAAAAGGTTTATAAAAGTCAAAAATAAAAAAATCGAAATATTTAAAAATCGTAAAATTGAATAGAAAGACTGAAAACCGAGAAATTGAAAAATTGAGAAATCGTAAAATCCAAAAATTGAATAATAAATAGGAGTAAACTGAAAAATCCCCAAACTAAAATTTCAGAAAACTGAGAATTCGAAAGTTGAAACAGCAAGAAATTATGGTCGAAACCGGTTAGGATGTGTATCAGATCACGGATCATGGTTTATAAATCAAATCGTTTCCGAACGCTTAGAGTCGACATTGGCTTAAGTGCGTTCTGCTGGGGCCCTTCTATAAATTGAGGTGTTTCGAAAGACTCTGGAATCGTGGACGCTTCCAGGCCAATTTGCGTTAACTGCATAAAAATAATTATTTGGGCCGCATATCATCATGACATTTAATGAATGATCGCCATAGCGATCAACGTAGACTTCTTCATGATTAGAAGGGCTATCGATGTTTATTAAGGTGCCATCAACACATCCACAGACACATGGGAATCCACCTTTGCGCAAAAATTCCATGGCAATGTCTTGTGTATTTTCTGGCCATCTAACTTCCTCTTGAAACATTGTATCAATGATGATGTTGACAACTTTCTTAATACTTCGACAAACTGTCGATTTTCGTACGCCGTGCATGATGGCTATCCCATGCATCTGGGCCCCATTCCCTAGCCAATGTAGTGTCAACAATAGTTGCTGCTCCGCTGTTAGAGCATGGTTTCTTCTATTTGCAGGGGCTAACCTAGCTCCGATTTTGCCTAAGACATACTTCACTTGTACCTTATTTAACCTGAATGCTTCTTTAAAATCAAAGTCGTTTTCAATGGTAAAATGTACCCTTTCTTTATATATTTTTCGCCTTGGTGGTCTTTCATCTTCATTTTCACTAGATTCATTGCTTGAAAACAATATTCTTCTTATCATTTTGCAATCACTTTGACAACGCAAGGTTTATATGTAGACCACTTTGCGTCTAAATTGCAAAATGAGTAAATTTTGCACTTTTACTTTCTAAAATTTTATAATGGTGGAACAGAAAATTAGAAAACATAACGTAAAGTTTATACTTTTCACTTTTCATTTTACTTTACCTTAATAAATTATGATGGGTGTGGTGGAACGCAAAGTACGTTTGAAAAGTGTAAAGTGTAAACTGCAAAGTTGCAAAGTGAATGGTGGAATAGGCCCCAGGGCCCTATTCCACCAACATTTCTGAAAACTTTGCACTTTGCGCTTTTCACTTTTCAGAAATTGAAAAGTGCAAAGTGTTTTTGTTCCACCAAGACTTGAAAAGTACTTTGCGGAAAGTCGTTCAAAATTTAAAATTTGCAAAGTTTATTGATAATCAAGTTACCGGCTGTCACAATTGAATACAATCAGTCTTTGCTGTCACGCTTTGCAAACCTAAAAGAATAAAAAAAAAATAAAGAAAAAAATACAGGGTTTTCATAAATGATTCTAAGGGCGTAGTTGGCCATGGATTTCAAAAATGCCGCTTTGCTGAAATTGTCTCATTTGACAGTTCTCACTTGTCATTGTGCTTGTCATTTGTAACCTGTCACTTAAAATCATCGCTTTTATTGTTCTACCACTTTCCAAGTGTGATTTACAGTAATTCTCGTTGATCCAAGTTTAAAACAACAAAATAGCCTTTCTCAAGGCTCTTGGTGCTTGCATGCGAAAACTTTGTGCTCGAAGCGAAGACCGTGAAAATGGTTTATTCGGTTGAGCAAAACACTTTCATCGTTATGTCTTATTATCGCAATGGGACATTCGTAGACGGAGCGTGGCTGTATTCTGTAGCCGCTTGTAAGCAAGAATATCTGGCCAATTACCCTGATTTGGAAATTCAAGAAACATCATTAGAGGCTCACATTAGAGATGTCATCAACAGATTTGTTCGCACTGGCAATGTCAACAAAGGGAAATCTTCTGGGAGACCTGCAGTATCTGAGGAAGTTGTTGATGATTTGAGAGAAAGACTCGAGCAGAATCCCCAAACATCTTTGACAAGATTATCTCAACAGTCAGGAGTTCCCGTAACCACATGTCACAAAGTAGTGAAAAAACGATTGCATATGCATCCTTACAAAATAACTACTGTGCAACAACTTTTACCAATAGATCCTCCACGCCGCGTAAAATATTGCAATTGGTTTCAGAATACTTTTCATGATGACGGGTTACTGGATCTTACATTTTTTAGTGATGAAGCATGGTTTCATTTATCTGGCTATGTCAATTCGCAAAATTTTAGAATTTGGTCCGCGGAAAATCCACATGTTTTTGTAGAGACGCCTCTTCATCCTTTAAAAATTGGAGTATGGTTGGCAGTTTCTCGTAGATGAATATATGGACCTATTTTCTTTCATGATACTATGACTGGAGAGAGGTATAGGCAACAGATTTTGGAACCATTTATTCAACAACTTGATGACGAAGAGCTGCAGTTAGGCTACTTTCAACAGGACGGCGCGACTGCACACACTGCACGTGCTACATTGGAATATTTACAACAACATTATGACGATCGTGTAATAAGTTTAGGAGTGCAGCATGCATTTCCACCACGTTCCCCAGATCTTACGCTATTGGACTTTTCAATATTTGGATATTTGAAAGACAAAGTGTTTCAACGGCAAATGAATAACTTGGCAGAGTTGCAACATGAAATTGAACGATGGGTTCAAAGCATTGATGGAAGGATGTTACAGAACATTTTTGAAAGTAAGAAAAAGAGAGTGAATATGTGCCTTGAACTAAATGGTGAACATTTTCAACATTTACTGTGATGTTTAACCACAATAAATTTGTTTGTTTATTCCATTATGAATTATTTTTATTTTTAACAACAAATTGACTATCAAGAATGTTGGAGTTCCGCGCATGAGGGTAACAAATTACGCCCGCGTAATTTCAAATGTTCAAATTCTATGTGGGTGACTTAATTTTGCATTGAAACGAATCTGTACACAAAAAAAACAACAAAAATCAAAAACTAGTCTTTAAAATTAGCAACGAAAGTATATTTTGAAGCTTGATACTTAAAATGAAATTACACTACGTTATAAATACCTATTTATTATGTACAATAAAATTTTTGATAGAACTGAATGAAATCTCAAACCGTAAAAACTCTGATTATTATCCGTGTCCGTTCACCCATCTGGTGGTCCTTGATTTTATATGACTCTACGATAAGGGTTTAGAAGCTACCCAGCAGTCAAAGTTATAGTTGGATTTTTATCTTTTACGTTTATACATTTTCGTTGAATATGTACTTTTGTGGCGGGAAGTGAAATATTAATTTTGTAATATACTATTGTTTTGTGGCTAATTAAAGAATTTCGTGTAATTTTTATGAAAAGGACAATGGACAGATAAAGTTCTATTATTTTATTAAGTAAAAACAAGCACTAGACATGACAAAACATATTTCAGTATGAGCATCCAAAAGTTTGAAGTGTTAACAAAATGTGCTTATTGTGTGAAATAATTTCAAGTACAAATCGACATCTAAGATATTTTCACGGCGACAATTTCAAAAATATTAAAAACTAGCAGAATAATTTGTCCGCTATGCTTTGAAAACTTTCAGCGTTTTCACTTATTAACGAATCATTTCAACATCGTTTATAACATTGAGTTGGAAGTAAAGGATCTACAATTTAAGAAAACGGAAGATTTTTTTTACACGAAAAGCAGATTTAGAGTTAAAAACTAATTCTTTTATATGACGAATTATTATTTTCTACTATGAATGTCAGAAGTAATCTAGCAAATTCTGTTAGTAAATGTAATATACGAGCTCCTAAAACTAGTGGCAGTATCAAAATGCAAGGAGTCTGTCCTTCACGAATTACAGCTCACTTTGATCATTCTTCCTCAGTGGTACTTGTTCAGTTTATTGCTATTCATGTTGTTCATCACAATGATCTTCGCTGTCAACCCCTGACTACAAAAGAAACGACATATCTAGTTGAACAAATTCGCACTGGTCTAACACACGAAAAAATAATTGAAACTGTTAAAAATCTAGAACTCAGTTCATGTACCAGATTTAATCTTCTGACTATGAAAGACATTCCCCACATTGCAGAAAAAATAATATATCTGGTAAATGAAGTAAGGAAAATCTTGTTGTGCATCAGAACATGAAAAATTGCACAAAAATGACTGCATTAGCTTCCATGTACAGCGGGCTGGAGTATATGTTAAAAAAATATGGCGCCAAAATCATTTGTGTAGATGGCACACATGGGACAAACCTCTATGACATTGAATTGACCCTTTTCCTGTAAGATCGTAAAACTTCCATAGTGACTTTCCGTGCGCACGCATCTTCAAAACCACGTTGGAATCTCTAGCAAAGGCCTGTGACAACAAACCGCTTTGACAGAATGCAACCGGAAACACATGCGTAATCTGTCGCTCATTGGTTAATTTTAACTTGGCGCTCCAAAAATCTGACTTCGCCTGCGCGATGTTGTCTCACTCTGTATCATTGGAATTGATAGAATGTCTACTCATTTTGCTTACAGGAAAAGGGTCAATTGACCACGTGTCCATGTGTTAGATGATAAAAATATTGATTATCCAGTAACATTTATTCTGTCCAACTGAAAGGTTCTGGTTGGTGAAATAAAATCATTAATATCGGTTTTGGTACCCAATTATTTCATCACAGATGATAGTTACAGCTACATATTGGAATGCCTGGAACAATAAATCAGATTCTTACAAAATTAGATCATGTATTAAAAGAAACAGATGAAAATAAATTTATAAGACTGAAGCAAGAGCTGATTAAATTTTTGGTAAAAAGTAAATTTGTGAATTATTTAAACACTTACTACTTTCAAAATAAAGAGCGCATGAAGTCATGGGCCCAGTGTTATCAAAAGAACGCAGGCATTAACACCAACATGCACGCCAAATCTTTGCACAGATCTTTGAAATACAAATATTTTGGTGGTAAACCAATAGAGGGCTGGAAACATATTTAGACACTTTGAAGAAACTACTGAAGGATACATCTTGGTCAAGAATTTCATCTACTTTATGACTTACAGCTATTCACCATGACCTTTTGGTCAGTAAGTCCCATAAACTTGCCACCCAGATAAGTTTTGATAATGTAGCTAAAGAATCTGCTGTAAAACATTTAATGCACTCACAAACCAAAACTAACTTTCATGAAGTAGAACTGATGGATAGGAAATGTAGTTATCAGACATTAAAATGCGTTGTTTGTCAAATTTGTATACACCATTAAAGATACTCTTGCTCTGAGTTCTTAATCAAAAATCATCTTTCTAAGCACATGCATCTGGTGTCCATGTATATAAAGGCATATTTAACCACCAAAGGCCCTTGGTCCCACTGGTCATCAATGCGCCTTCAACTTCTGAAAAACAGTTTGAAAATGAACTACATTTGCGCTTATCTAACTCCGTAACATCGCGCAGAACACGCGCTTCTCGATTTCGCACAAACTGTTTGTGCAAAGCTCTTCTACAGCATCTTTTGATCACGTTCCTCATCTTCAAATGTTATGCAAATGCTTCCTTTTGCCACAAAAATTTGTTAAATTTCGCATTCGTGCATTCTTTAATTGCAGCATTGCTGCCGTTGTTAACATAACCTAACTTTTTATGGTCACCAACGCGTGCTAACTTTTTGAAAGGACACACGGGCGCTTCGCCTCCTGCACTTCATTACAAATATACTCCTAAACGTGGAACTTCTTTTTCCGTGGATGATTTAGTTATTGGAATTTGTGCGTGTGTATATCAACAGCCAACCAAAAATTTCACTTGTTATCGCCAGTATCGCCTTGTTATGTTAGTCACATGTGTATTGACGCATGCGTTTTCGATATTTAATCATGAAGCATTTAGGCAACCAGTTATACAGATGCATGTGGTGCTTGTCGTGCCCAAGGACACATTTAGTAAAGTACACATAAAGCGAAAGGCGGCACACATCCATAACCTACTGCGACCCTATAATCATTTATGAAAACCCTGTACTTTCGACTTAGATTTAATTGAACTTTTTAATTACTTTGTCAATTAATGAAAATAATTTAATTTCTAAAGTAACGCAATAATTCATTAATTCTTCTTTCGGTATCTTCACCCAAAGGTTGATTATTATTTTCTTGCATCATATTATCTTCGTCTGGGTTATCGTTGTTCATCTCTTCGCGATTAGGGTAGTGATCTTCTTCTCTTCCAATTATTTTTGCAAATTGTGCAAAGTGGCACATGCCAATACAATCCGTGCAGCCTTTTCGGGATTTGCCCGTAGGTGGTTTAAACACGGAAATTTTTCTTTTAGTATCCCATAAGAATCTTCCACCAGTTTCCGTGTCAATTTATGGGCGTTGTTGTACCGCCTTTCATCTTCGGCACCAGGGTTTCTGTGGAGAGGAGTCATCAACCACGGTCGTGTTGCGTAAGCTGAGTCACCCAAAATGACTGCTCTTGGAAAAAGCCTCCATCCTTGTTCAAACCTTCTATAAATTGCGGTGTTTCGAAAGACTCTGGAATCGTGGACGCTTCCAGGCCAATTTGCGTTAACTGCATAAAAATAATTATTTGGGCCGCATATCATCATGACATTTAATGAATGATCGCCATAGCGATCAACGTAGACTTCTTCATGATTAGAAGGGCTATCAATGTTTATTAAGGTGCCATCAACACATCCACAGACACATGGGAATCCACCTTTGCGCAAAAATTCCATGGCAATGTCTTGTGTATTTTCTGGCCATCTAACTTCCTCTTGAAACATTGTATCAATGATGATGTTGACAACTTTCTTAATACTTCGACAAACTGTCGATTTTGCCTAAGACATACTTCACTTGTACCTTATTTAACCTGAATGCTTCTTTAAAATCAAAGTCGTTTTCAATGGTAAAATGTACCCTTTCTTTATATATTTTTCGCCTTGGTGGTCTTTCATCTTCATTTTCACTAGATTCATCGCTTGAAAACAATATTCTTCTTATCATTTTGCAATCACTTTGACAACGCAAGGTTTATAGACCACTTTGCGTCTAAATTGCAAAATTAATAAATTTTGCACTTTTACTTTCTAAAATTTTATAATGGTGGAACAGAAAATTAGAAAACATAACGTAAAGTTTATACTTTTCACTTTTCAATTTAACTTTACCTTAATAAATTATGATGGGTGTGGTGGAACGCAAAGTACGTTTGAAAAGTGTAAAGTGTAAACTGCAAAGTTGCAAAGTGAATGGTGGAATAGGCCCCTGGTCTGTAGATCAAACAAGTTCTCAAACGACGAACTGTAATTCGTGTGACCTGAATTACAGTGAAGGAAACAGTAAGGAGCTTGTAATATTCTGGTAAATCTAATGTCAATTTGTCGAAAGTAAAACGCGTCATTAAAAATATTATGACATTTTTTCTAGTTAATTTTATTCCAAGTTAGAAACAAACACTGTTGCCAACATAAGTCGAGGAGTCCTCAACCGTCATTTAATTTAAACTATGACGCTTCTCTATGTTCTCTGACATGACCGTGACAGCTGAAAGAAAGCACCAGTCAAATTTAAAAGTGGACTCGCCCGAACCAGAATTGGTAGTCTGTGCAACTTTATTGGTGTGCTGTTTTCAAAAGATTTTAACTCTACATCTCCTTTAAATTTTACAATCAATTTACAAGTACGTTTTTAGTTGCCCGTATTTGCCAAAAACCCAGATTATTAATATCCGGTTACAAAAATGTAACAAGTTCAACAATATAAACCTCTATAACATTTCAGTATTATGTTCTGTACGATTCTACAATTATTTAACTGGTTTAAAAAAAAAAACTCAATATTGTCTCATTTCATTTAGAGTGACTCTAATGCTCTAATGGATTAAAGAGCTTAGAAAATCGTCAAAGCGAATATTTTTTACGCTACACATTTACAAAAATACCAAATTTTGAAGTTTATCGCTACTTGAAAGTTTTTTTTATTGCTTGAAATTCTCTACAACCTTAGTTTTATTATTGTATTGAAAGCAACTAACATTTTTAAGTTCGCACCACATCTGGTAAAACATACTAGTCTCCGTTTACCGAACATATGGACTTCTAAAAGTGCGTTATCTTTTAAAATTCTAATAACGTATGTCTCAAAAGTTTTGGCACAAAATTCAATAAAGGCAAAATGTGTAATAATGATGAAATTTCAAGTAATCTTTGGAAAAATCTTTAAAAGCTTGTCTTTACACTGACAGTTCAGTATTTGGCATTACTTCAACAAAAATGTCTTACAAATTAAATATTCGAAGGAGTGTTTGAGAATTTTTACCGAGGCCAGGGCCGGTAGACTGGTAGCAAGAGTAAAAAATACGGTTGGGTTGTCAACTAGGAAACTGGGACGTCAATACAGCACTTCAAAGGACACGATTTCACAGGAATTAAAAAGAAATGGACAAAAATTTCGAAAAAGAAAGAAATGTCTCAAATATATACCCAATCAGTTAGCGCGGATCCCAAGATGTTGCCGGGAATTGAGACGGATAGATTTCGCGAACGATAAAATTATTGTCATTGATGATGAAAAATATTTTACGGTCTCAAACTCACAGATGAAAGGCAATGATGGCTTTCATCTGTGATAACATAGATGAATGTCCAGACAACGTAAAATATAAAACAAAGGTAAAATTTACTGATAAAATTCTAGTTTGGTGCGCCATGTCCATTCGAGGAGTATGTAGATCTTATGTTGGGCGAGTCAGGGGCGAAGCATTGGATAGTCAGCGCTATATCCAAAACTGCTTGAGCAAATTGGATAACTTCATTCACGGGGACGATATAATGTTTTGGCCAGACTTAGCATCGTGCCATTATGCAACAGACACTCAAAACTGGCTTAACGACCACAATATAGCTTTTGTCCTTAAAAATCACAATCCCCCTAATCTTCCCCAGGCTCGGCCGATTGAAGACTTTTAGGCCTTTTTATCTCGAAAGGTGTACGATGCAGGTTGGGAAGCAGAAAATGAAGGGCAGTTGCGAAGAAGAATCTTTAGAAAGTTCAGAGAAATCGATATTGAGACCGTCCAAAATTTAATGCGAGGTGTGCGACGAAAATTGCGTCTAGTGGAAGACCACGGACCCCTTCATTTATATAAGTTATTAGTTTTGTTATTTATAGTAGTAATATTTTTGGGGTATGTTAGCAGTTTAAATAAAATTTTATTCACACAAAAAAATTATTAAAGAATTTTGTGCCAAAACTTTTGAGACATACGTTACAATTAGTTGAAGGATGTCGGGAGTTGAACTGAGCACCAATGTTTTCACACAGCTCAACAAATTATATCTATCCTTTCTGGTTAGGTCAACAGGAGCTTTCACTCTTCTTTGAGCCGTCGTGTCGTCATGCTCATTTTTCGTGTATTTTATTTTAATCGTTTATTCGATATTTTTTGTAAATCAGTTTTTTTGGAATTTAGTTTCTCGGTTAGTGGTGGTTATTATTTTTTTTTTTGCAAAAAAAATAAATAAATAAGACCGCAAGTGTGATGCTTAAAACACCACAACAACAAAAATAACCCTTAAAGAGTTTGAAATTGGTTAAGAAAGCTGATCCCTCTACCATTGGGTTGGGGGTCAATGAAATGAACTGTCTAATCAGTTGAGATACTTCTAACTTCATTCATCTATAAGCCAAAACCCTATTATGAAATTATCTCAATGATTTCTAATATGACGGCAGTTTTTGGTCCTCCAGAACGCGGTGCGTTTTGAACTCATTAACTCAAAGGCGAATAGCTTCATAAGAAGAATATGAATGGCACAATGTATGAAAAATCATTTTATTGAGTTCTTTGGTAGTGTTCCCTTCCAAAAAAGAACTGAATCACATTACGAACTGAAATTTTCTCCTTCTTTAAATAAAAATCACTCGACACATTTGTATTCAATTGAATCCTAAACCAACTACTGACAGAATGACTTGACATTGTAGAAACGTCATCTATCGGAAGCCTGCATGTGCAGTTACTGCTTTTTCTTCGTTCACCTAAGACGATGCGAACCGAAGTATTCATCAAACCACCCTCGTAAGAAATTTCCCGATCGACCCAGCTTTCAAACAAAAGAAGCCGCATTGAAATCGATTCATCCGTTTGGGGGCTACGGTGCCACAGACACACTCAGAGAGAGACAAGAGTCAAAGTTATAAACACCCCGCTTTTTCGGTCAGAGGTTAAAAATTGTAATTTTTTTTACGTAATTAATACTTCTACTACGTTGGCTCTATATGCCAAATCGTCCACTAGTTTACCACAAAACTTGTTACTTATTATTATCTTTAAATTAGTGGCAGGATAACGAGAATGTTGGAAACTAAAAACAAACACGAATTTCAAGAACTGTCGGCAAAAAATCGTGTTTGTTTCCGAGTTGTCCATTATCGTCGTTATCCTGCCACTAATTTGATATTTATATTAATTTATTATCAATTTAATGGGCTTTTCTTGTAATTTAAAATATCAAAATTTGTTACCGAGTGATAAAAATATACACAACGACAGTACAATTACGATTACCATATTAATCATAATGCTTCGATTGAAATGCCTTGACATAAATTTACCTTAAACTGATGGTTGCTTCATGTTACATATTTAGATTTTTACCCGTATTTCGGAACTCGATGGGAAGGAGCGAGACAGGAGTGTTTTTTATTATTGCTCCTAATGAGAAACATTTTGGATCATACTGTATGTTATTTCAAAAACAAGGAATTTAAGATGCGTTTATAAACGGGCAAAAATATTTTCAAAAATCCCGTTGAAGTTTCTCTATGGAATCAGTTTTAATAGTGTTATCGTGTGAGCTTAAACGTTCACTTTATAAGCACGTGAAATTCACGTGATTGGTCCATTTATTCGGTAAACGAACTATAATCCGTTGTCGTATATGTATATGCGAAAATTTGAAATAATTACAAACTTTGCTTTTTTCTAGGTTGCAGTACATCAAAACTTATGAAGTATTAACAATTCTTTCATTTGCGAGCCATTAATTCAAAGTGCGTGCTTATCTTAATTTACTTTCAAAGTTTTTATACAAAACAGGAAGTTATTGATTCCATATCACTTACTAAGTGCACTGCATTGACGTCATTTCAACACCTAATAATTAACAGATAACGATATTTACATTTGATAATGGGCTCTAAATAACAACACATGTTAATTTTTTAAGATGTTATCCTTATTAAAAAAATTATCTTACCTGTACTTCCCAAGAGGCGGCAGTTCTTTAAAGCCCAACAATAAGCATAAGTAATCTCCTCCAATGCCCTGGGAAACGGCGCTTCTGGGGCCAAACTGTAATCAATGCTTAAAATAGGTACTTGAATTTGTTTAGCCCATCCTCTTAAGTAACATTCATGTGATAATGAAGACTGAGCTACAAAGCCACCTCCATGGCAGTGGATTAATAGGCCTCTAGCTGGTGGCTTGCACTTAATTTTGGTTGTAGCTTCACCAATCATCCCTTCATGCACTTCATAACTTATAAGGCGCACTTGAATAGGCTTTGTATCTGTTTAGTTACAAATAAGTAAAAAAAAAGTGAATACACTATAAAACTGTTTTACCAGTATGGGAACTTGGAACTGGTACTTCAACTTCTTTACCATTCACTTCCAGAGTAAAGGGTTCAGGTGGTAAATTGATAACTCTTGAGACTGCCACAGTTGGTGTCACCACATATGGCATATTAGTCATCAATTCATTTTCTGAGAGAAACCAAAAGGCTTTACAGAAATCTACACTCGCATTTTGGGAAATATTTACAATCCTTCTGGCTCTTTGTTCTGGGTCATTTACATATTTTGAAGTTGCCTTTAGAGATGATGTGGCTTTGGAGAGAAATGAACCTTGATTATAGTAAATTTCAGAAAATATTGCCATAGACATAGATATAAATTGCAGTAGGTTTCTGATAGATTGACAAAACTAAAAAAATAAGGTTATTTGGAAAAACAAAACAAAGTTTCATTTTACTTGAAATCCCAAAGGACGTCCATAAAAGCAATATTGATTGATGTCTTCATAATTAGACAGCACTTCAGGTGTGGAATGGTCTTCGTCTGGGAATAAGTTTCCTGAAGAGCTCCCAGACAATAATACCTCCAAGTGTTTAAAACATGTGTCCAAACTTGCAATTAAGTGTGCCACAGCTTCAGCTTCCCTACACAACACAGAATAATACAAAAATAAAAATATATAGCAATAGCAATTACTTAGTCATTTGAGTTTTTCTAAAAAAAGCGCTACTCCGTTTTAACGCGATCTTCTCATTTATTTGAATTCCATAATTAATAGCACTTTCAGCCACGCTCAAGAAACTTCGGTATCCATTGCCAGGGGTATTTTCATCAAAATCAAATTTAGGTGCTTGTACTGCAACTCTAGCCATTTTTTGAGAAATTTCCTCCACATTTTCTTTGATTCCCATAAAAGAAATGTATAATCGTTGTCCATTTTCACTGGTGTCGGTTTCAAAATACTCTGCATTACTTGCACACAATTTTTTTAAAATTTCAATATTCGATGAACCCTCTACATTGTGCACATCCAGGCCGTTTGCTTGATCACTGCAATCTGTCATTCCGGGAAATTTTAAAATTTTGATATTTTATGCAATAAATTTGTCTTTCATGTAGTTGTAATTTGGAAAAGGTAAAACTAACAATATTTACATTGAAAATTAGGCAATGTTTTTTGGATCACATACTCCCTACTACGAGAGACGTCATATTATGTCATTATGCAAGCAACCAATCAAAACATGCAGTACGACCGCATGACCCTAGAGGAATAAAAACAAAAACCCCAAGCGTTTTGTTGTCGTAAATTTGAGGTTAGCTTGTGTAGCACAGAAATTTTCCAAATTAAAACAAAAATGACGACATTGAGACCTTTTACGTGTGATGATATGTATAAATTTAACAATGTGTAAGTAAAGAGTGTCAAAGTTGGAGTTCGTAACGATTTGTTTCAGAAACTTGGATCCGCTCACCGAAACCTATGGACTGTCTTTCTATATGCGCTATTTAGCTCATTGGCCGGAATATTTTCAAGTTGCTGAATCCCCAAGTGGAGAAATAATGGGTTATAGTGAGTTAATGACATGACTATTTGATTGTTAAATCAAAATAAATGTTTGCAGTAATGGGTAAAGCGGAAGGAATTGGGGAAAATTGGCATGGGCATGTTACAGCTCTCACGGTGTCTCCTGATTTTAGGCGTTTAGGGTTAGCTGCCACTTTAATGAACTTCTTAGAAGATGTCTCTGAAAAGTATGGCTTGCATATTAAACAACTGCTTGCATCATAATTTACTTTTCAGAAAACGAGCTTATTTTGTGGATTTGTTTGTGCGCGTCAGCAACAAAGTGGCAATAAATATGTATACAAACCTGGGGTACATTGTATATAGAACGGTCCTGGAGTATTATTCGGGTGATCCTGATGAAGATGCTTATGGTTAGCATTCATGTTTATATGTTTGATGTTTGTAAATATATTTTTTCAGATATGAGAAAAGCCTGCTCTAGAGATGTGAACCAGAAATCTGTGATACCCTTAACACACCCTGTACGACCTGAAGATGTAGACTAGAGTATAAAAAAGTAACTATATTTATTTTATTTTATATTATTTAAATGATTACTCATTAATAAAATATTTGACTTGCATAATAAAAGTTTACAAAAAAGAATTACTGCCGTTTTATTGCTCCATAAACAGTAAATACATTTTCTACTTAATTTACTTGGTGCGCAATGTTTGTACAAAGTGAGTCTCACCTGAATAAAAAAAAAAGTGTAAATTTTGAATCGTGCTTAACACTTGGAATTTTCTTTTTGACAGTACAAACATAAGGTGTGTGTAAAGTATCACTGCTAAGAAAAATATTGTTTCATTAAATTCTCTGAATTGTAGGTACTTATTCATCTTTATTTTTGTGTTACTTACCTATATTTGCTGAGAGTTAGTCGCAAATATGTTAGATCTCATGTATTTAAATATTTATTATTTATGATTTTTGAATAAAATGCAGACATTTTTAAAGAGTCTTGTACATGCATTGTTGATACAATTTTTAGATGATTTTACATTTGTTAAGGCGAGACTTAATCCTTTAGGAAAAAATAGAAAGACTTAATAATATTATAGTTTTTACTAATTCTGATGCTAATTATTATTAATTAATTGACACGTCCTTGATACTATATAGGTAATAATTACAATTTAACCACGGTTAATTGTGGTTAATTAATGTTAATTGAGTAGGTTTAATTACGACTTAAAATGTTTTTGATTTAATTAAATGGCGCACTTCGACCTTTTGGAGACGCTGCGCCAGTTTAAAATTTTTCCCGTGTTGCTTCAGTAGGTGCTTTCCGCCCCCGATTGCTATTTAGACAGATTCTGATTTTTTTTAGTTACACTTGATTACAATTGTACACATGTTGTGCATACAAAAATTGCTATAAATGTAAATATACGGAAGACGTAGTTTAACAGTTGAAAAAAGTTTACAATTTACCAAAAAAACTGAATTTCCGTTATTATTGAATGTAAAAAACGCCGTGACTAAAATGTGAAAAATCTGGTATGTTTAAGCAAAATTTAAATACATATTTTTATTTTCCTTATATTTAAAAATTATAATATGTATAATATGTAACAACAAAGTCGAAGGGTCTTCCAGATCCTCCAGTGGTGTGCTCGAAAGCGTTTGCCGGGTGTTGGATATAACGGAAAGGGTTATAACCAGACTTCGGCATAGTGGAAATGATGCTTATTGCCATCCGATCGCCAGCGGTATTGCAGTCGTGGCCTACAACTTTAGGAATTCTTAATAACAATTACTACTTTTTCTAGGTTTTCCTCAGTTATAAGAGTTCTCCTAAATATTCAAATGCTTTAAAAATTAAAAATGACTGTTCACGCCACTGAGGGTTGAGACTGCACAGTCGGCCACCCAAATTTATCGCCTGACGTCGCGCCGTCGTATTTAATCACTGGATGTATTAAACAAAACTCAAGTATGAGTCATTAATGAATGCATAAAAAAGTCTCTCCCGGAAACTTTACAAGAATAACGTGTAGGTACTGCATCAGTTGGTTATCGGCGGAGTGACCGTCGCCGTCGCGCCTAGACATTATAAACAATTCGTCCAAATATATAAACAAGCGTGATGTGGATGCTATAGCGAACTAAAGTGTGTTACATCACTGAATGTTGAACAAAAATGTGGTCTAGGGTTACTTATACACAACTTCCCTCGCCCTTGAAATACAGTCGAACACATACAGAGTTTAGCTTTGTCTAGATAATGCCAACGTGGCTGGCGAAACGGGTCGACAAATATTTTGTGTGTTTTCGGTGTTTTGGGAATAAACATTCTATAAAATACAAAATGACCGAAAAATGATAAAATTTAATTTTGCGAATTTTATTTTTACTTCCTGAGCGTAATCAAAGAAAATATTGTAATCGAGTCTGTCGGGGAGCGACTTACTTTTATGTTTTCTCGACATTTCATGACCCACCTATTTCAGTCTGTGTATGTTAGGAATATCGTGTAGATCGTAAAACGCTCACCAAAATTTATCCAATCAATCAAATTCCCAAAATCAATTTTTTTAATTTTTCAAAGAGCGGGATTTGTGGCAGTGCACTTCGGGGGCGAGGAAAGTCCTGTCGAAATAACTTTCGACCATTTTTTATTTCTTACATTGGTATAACACTGTGACTACTTTTCTTTTGTGGTCTGACTAGAATTCCTATTCATGTTGATGACGTCATCACAAATTTTTTATTGGTCAAATTAAGAACGAGTCACCCCATTTTCTCAAAAATGTGAAGCATACGCACATCTTTATACAGGGTGTTATTGAAAGGTACGTACAACAAAATGGACAGTTCTTCGCAAAATCTAAGAAGTCGGAAAAACTTATTTTGTGTTATTAAAATTATAAGGGGAAAATTAACCCTTATCCAACCTTTTTAGACGCTACTGAAGGATAAATAGGTAAAATTAATTTATTTTAGTAAATCCTAGCAACTGTAACAATAAAACTTTTGTCAAGACTAAATGTTGCTATAGAAACGAAAGATGATCTTTTTATCAGAGGCGTACAACGAATTTGGACATAAATTTTAATAATTTTTATCTCTAAAAGGCCAACACTTTTACCTGAACTTTTTTTTAACTTTTAGCACCCATACTTCGAGAGCAATTACCGATTTTATTTTGTACGTACCTTTCAATAACAGGCTGTATAATAATGATAAAATAAGAATTACGATATTCAGAACATTTTGTTTAATTGTGCGATGGTTTAATTAATAATAATTTTAGTCCTGCTTTGAGAAGACAAACTCATTCAAATCAAACTAATTTCTACGTGACATTCTTTCGTTGTATAAACATAAACAAACACTTTGGCTTCAGATTGCTATTACCTAGTGCTGAAGGACCAGGGGTGTTATTTATGCCTCTGGTTTTTACTTTCCAACGCTTACCACAAAACGAAAATCGTAAAATGAAAATGTATAATTTTTTAAAGAGCTGGATTTGTCGGATTATATAATCCGCCCCTCGGTCTGACAACGAATTAAAAATTCATCACAACTGAGATCGGGACTTTTTTTAGTTACATATAATTTTACTTGAAAAACACGGTAGTTAAATAAAATTTTAGTTTCTTGTTATGAAAAGATTTCGTATATTAAAAAAATTGTACAAAGATAAGTCCCCCCACCCACCCCCTCTCAATTGTGTTTTATTTTTTTATTCATCTTGAGCCGAAGGCGGAGCTTAGTTGCAAAATCCTCATTTCACTACAAGAAATTACCATGTGAAATATGTTCTTGAAATAGTAAAATTTTGCTAAGAAATATGAATTTTGCAATTAAACTCCTCCGCTCGGTGTGATATCGAGTAAAAAAAAATCATTACAACTGAGATAGGGTGGGTGGGTGGGGCTTATATTTTGCCCTTCCTTCTTAATATAGGTACGTAGTCTTCTTTTCACAACAAGAAACTTAAACATGTTCAAAATTTTTGTAGGGAAATGTGTATTTTGCAATTACGTTCCGGCCGTCGGTCTGACAACGAATAAAAAATTCATCATAATTGAGATCGGGACTTTTTTAGTTACTTAAAGTTTTATTTGAACAATATGATAGTTAAATAAGTTTTCAGTTTCTTGTTAAGGAAAGATTTCGTAAATTTTTAAAAGTGTATTAAATATAAGCCCCGCCCACCCACCCCTTCTCTATTGTGATTATTTTTTTCTTCGTTGTGAGCCGAGGGCAGAGCTTAGTTGCAAATTCCTCATCTTTCTACAAGAAATTACCAAGTGAAATGTGTTCTTGAAAGAGTAACATTTTGCAAAGAAATAGGAGTATTAATTTTGCAACTTATTAAACTCTGCCGCTGGGTGTGCTAACGAATAAAAAAATCATTACAACCGAGATAGGGTGGGTGGGGCTCATGGTAGAAGGAGACATGGTATAGGCATACGCATCGGGTGTGACGTCAAGTGGGGTGAAATTAGCGCGAAATTTAAAATACAATCCGTTATCCGACAATTAATTGACGTATTGTACAGAGCAATGACAACTCAAGCTGAAATTCCCTAGACTTCCCTAGCGAAGCTCACAAGAGTCACAAGGTCGTTGATGCCACCTAACGTCACAAATGGATGCGCAGACCATTTTTAAATTGGTACATCGGATGCCTATACCATGTCTCCTTCTACCATGGGTGGGGCTTATATTTTTCCCTTTCTTTCTAATATACGTAGCCTTTTCTTTTTACAACAAGAAACTTAAACATGTTAAAAAGTTTTGTAGAGAAATATATATTTTGCAATTACGCTCTGCCCCTCGGTCTGACAACGAAGGAAAAATTCATCACAATTAAGATCGGAACTTTTTAGTTACATATAGTCTAATTTGAAAAACACGGTAGTTAAATAAGTTTTCAGTTTCTTGTTATGAAAAGATTTCGTATATTAAAAAAAAAAATGGACAAAATATAAGCCCCGCCCACCCACCCGCTTTCAATTGTGATGATTTTTTTACTCATAGTGAGCCAAGGGCGGAACTTAGTTGCAAAATCCTCATTTCTCTACAAGAAATTACCATGTGAAATATGGATTTTGTAATTAAACTCCACCGTTCAGTCTGACAACGAATAAAAAAAAATCATTACAATCGAGATAGGGTGGGTGGGTGGGGCTTATATTTTCCCTTTTTCGTAATATACGTAGTCTACTTTTCACAACAAGAAACTTAAACATGTTCAAAATTTTTGTAGGGAAATATAATATAATAATAACTTTCGATCAATTTTTTATTGATCAAATTAAGAACCTCATTTTCTAGAAAATGTGAGAATACTAAAGTTTTTATTGAATTATGATGAAATAAGGATAATAATAATCATATGCAAAACACTTTGTTCCATATTCGTATAGGTATATTTAAGTGTGTTGATTTTAATGAACTTTAAAAGATTAAGACATATAAGCAACTTATTATATGTCTAATGTACTATTACCACCGTGGTTCAAAGTAACAATAGAAAATAAGGTTTATTATCACAGAATTGTACATAGAACTTTTCATACAAGTATTTTACTATTTTAAATGACACATCAAGAACGTGTGCACTTTACTTGAACGAAACAGCTTTCAAGGTTTTCATTGTAATCAAGAAAGAAAAGAACAAAAAATTAGAAGACTGGCAGTGGAACAAGCGCAAGCAGCTGGAAACGAATAAGTGTATATAAATGACCGTAAAATTCGAATAGCAAGGTAATCTTACTTTGTAGAACAAGGCACACTTTGAGTTATTGTTAAATAATTAACATTTAACAAAAGGATTGGACTGGAGAATTATAAAAAATACGTTCTTTTTCTTCTTGCCTAAAACATAACTATATAAACGAATTTAAAAAATGATTACTTTAAAATATGAATACATACATCTTTTTGTATGTATGACATGTATACCTAAAAGCTAACAAAATGCTTATATATTACGGTATTTTTCCCATTTAAGAAAATTTTTCTTTTTTTGTGGTAATTTTTTCTCATTTTTGAAACGGTATATTTCTGTATAATAGTCTCTTTATTATTATTTTACATTCTTTATTATTCCATATCTAGTAGAAATTGCAACAGTAAACAAAAAAAAATGCTTACTTCTAGTATTTTTTTAGTTCTATTTCCTACTAAAATTTAGCTTCATACTTACGTACATGTTACACGTATGATGTTGTAAAAACTTCGAAAGAGTGAATTCTTTTACACGTGAAAAAATAAATAAATGAACAGGTGAGTTTTTTTGCAAATAAATGCATGCTGAACGGTCCAGAATTTCGAAGATTGTTTTATACAATCAAGTGAAGATTTTTTTTTTTTGCTAAATATCTATGTTTAAAAAGTGGGGATGTTTTAAGGTCGTATTGATGCACTGTGTACGGTACTTCCGCCTAAAAAATTGAACTAGATTGAAAAAATCTGTACAACTTTTCGATAAAATGTATAAGTAAGTATTTCACACAAGAAGAAATCACATTTATTTATATGAGTACCAAAAATTACGAGCAACTAACATTCCACATGAAGCACCACTAAATGATCAATCATTTTCTACTTACCAAATTCTTAAATAAATTGTTGTTTCATTGGACCAGATATTAATAAAGTACACACTGTTGTGGTGATGTTTATATTTCACGTTTAAATAACGAAAAAAAAAAACGTAAAAGACGAGAATACTTTGAGCTTGAGTCTATTGCGAAATTAACTTATATGAATTTTATAGGTATAACAACAGAATTAAAAAAGTTATAACTGTTTTATGGTCCCTAATTAGAAAAAAAATTGCATATGCAGTTATATTGCTCTACGCCTTGTAAAACTCAAAGCTTTTTGAACGAAATCACAAATCGAAAATGATATTATCATTTTTATTTGAAACTGTTTTAATTTGAAAAGTTTCGATAATTCATAACATTACTTGTTTCATAATCGTTTTTTTTTTTTATTTTTCAGATATGTAAAGGTAAAATACAAATGTTTTGATTATTGCAAAATCAGTCTTTCCAAGGAAATCGCACATGACGCTATAGGTATATATTAATGTTTGATACCTAAATAGTTTCATAAAAATCGTTTCTGTGAAGAAAACTATCAATTAAACTATTTATCATTAAAATTGACTGTTTGAAACTATTTCACTCTTCAGTATTTCGTAAGACAACTTTTACGTCCCGCATGAACTTATCACCACATATTTATCAAGAATTACCCACATTCGTAATTTAGGCATCTATCTAATATGTTGGTGTTATACTGTAATGGACTAAAAGTATGGAACAGGTATAAAAGAAAACAGTTATTCACAACACTCAGCCGCGAGCGCGTACCTTTCAATGCATCAGTTTTGGTCGGTTGACTTTCAATAACGCGTCGGATTGAACTGATACGGTGAAAATCATTTAAAAAAAGACAATACAAAAATTTCATTATTAAAATTATCGTCTATTGTATAGTGAAAATCTAAAGATGATGAATTTTCTAATAAAGGCCTATATGGTGGTATTACTAATTGGTATTATAACCAGCGAAGTGGTCCAGTTTGACAATTGTGAAGGTAATTTCTTTTGTATTTCTGAAAAAACCAAGCGTGACAAAAAATCCCTGTTGATTACTGGTTCGTAAAAGGTTGTATTAAATTTTTCATCTTCAAGTTAATTATTTTAATTTACATTTGAGTAACTCTGAAACATTTCCGCCTCTGCATGAATTATTTTTTCTCTTCGCTTTCCGTAGATGCTGACGATTCCATTTGTGAAATCAAAGAAGTCAGAGTGGAGCCCTGCAAGGAAGCGAAAAGCAAGAAACCCTGCAAACTCAGAAGTGGCACAAACGCCACAATTGAATTTGATTATGTTCCCGGTAAGACATTAATTACTATTTGATAAAAGTATATTACAAGATATTTTTGTGTAGGTTTTGATGCCGAAAAATTGGTGAGTCAAGCTTATTCGGTGACGCCTTTCATTGATTTACCTCTTATCGGAATGGACAGAGATGGATGTAAATATACCCAATGTCCGACTAAAAGTGGTGAAACTGGCACATATAAGAATACTCTTTTCATCTCGCCGGCTTTCCCTTTATTAAACTATATTGTGAAATATCGTCTTTGGGATGCTCGGGTTGGTGAAAAAGGATGTTGTGTAACGTTCAAAATAAAAATTGTCAGATAAAAATTACAGTTTTAGTGTAGAACGAGATTAAATGTCTGAATAAAATGATTCATAAGTAAATAAATTAGTATGTAATTACTTTGTTCTGTAACTTTCTAAATCTCACCATTAGCTCGTCAGATTTCTCTCCACTGCCTAGTCTTTGGAGGCAATTTATTGTAATGTCACAAGTCGGAAAATGACAAAGCACAAAGAACGTTGTGTTTCCAAACCGTGAATTTAATGATTTCCAAAAATAGGTAAACGTAAAATGGGTGTAGGTGGCATCTTTTGAAAATTATTTGGTTTTTAGATATTTACGTTCTATCATTATTCTGAAATTATAGCAAACCAAAAATCACGCAAAGTAAATGCTATAGGCAACCATATATACGTCCAAGAATTGAAATCACTGATTATATTGGTAACAATATAAAAATCATTTAAACATTTAAATAAGTAATAAGTTTGGTGTTTACTATTTACTATATTTTAAACGCTTTTGGAATCGCGTGAAAATACGCTAACATAACTTCCTTGTTTACCCCACGAATATTCTTTGATTTTTGCCACTAGTTGAAATAACTCGAGCTGCTTGTTGTACTTTTTGTAGTAATTAATAACTGATGAGTCACTGTTTTTTGTCTCATTCAGTATATCCTTTGTATAAAAACATTGTCCATTTTGATAAACTTTAAGTTTTCAGTTTTTGTCCACTATTTAGGTACAGTGGAAACAAGAAATAACCAAAAATCGGCTTCTCAATAAATGGGAAACTATTCTATGTGTATGTAGAAATAATTTTGTTTGATTTGCGACTAAATGAATAATTGCGGTGTTGAATAAAGTGTTGTATTACATTCGTGAGTAAATTCGTATTACCCATTCGGACTCGACAACAATACTCAATTCGTCCTGACAGACTCGTTGGTTAAAGTTATTTTCTCTCATGGACAATATTCATCTTTACTCACTTGTAAAATAAATAACTATTAACCAATAGATACATGTAAAAGAGCTATAACTATTATGGTGATTTTTAATAATTAAATTGGTTTACAATTGACTAAGGGAATATAATCCTAACTCACTTGTGAGTTATGTCATAAGTCTAACTTACTGTTACCATGCGATTGTCTTTGTAAATACAGACAATTATTACAACCCATTTCTAACTTTAACAACAAATATCAAAATCAACATGAAATAAAAAATCAATATTTTTACCAAATATTACTCATGTGTTTAATTTTTATATTACACTCGTGTGTTATAGCTTTAAATCAGTTGAGAAAACTTTCTCTCGCGTGATTTAGGTATAAGCTACACAACACACTGCCATATGATAAAAAAAGCCCTCTAGTAGACCATGAAATTTATTTTTAAAATAAAGATGTTTTGCAATACCAAAGCGTTCCTTGTTTAGTTTGATACATATTTGTCAAATAAAGTGTGAAATAGTGGCAATGTGAATATATAAAGTATATTCCGTATATTAAATGACTATTTTGTCCTTCTGAACTGTAAATAGCCCATTCACTGTTTGACATCCACTGTATTATAATGTAATAAAATATAAAGCAAGTTTTCATAATAAAATTTTTGTGATAAATTTTTTAGCAAGGACACAACAATTTGAATAGGTACAATGTGTTACTAAAAACAACAGTACTATACTCCCAAAATTCGGGGTAAGAGTATTTTGATGTAGTCAATACATTAAAATGAGTTATTAATTCATTTTTTGTGGACTTATTTGCTAATTATTTAAGATGCCGCGATCAACTTTCGGTGGAAGCAACTGTGATTTTTATGTTTTATTTACAAAAGGTAGCGCTAAAGATAAAGTTGCAGAGTGATTATTTTATCTTTTCACGCCTGAATACTTTCGGGTAGGCAACATATTATATTTACATATCATTACCAAGTTTATTAATCTTTTTAAATTAGCAATCATAGTAAATGCAACAACACAAAAAGCACACTATGTCATAATGATAAGCAACTAGTAATGGCAAAATTTAAAGAAAATAGAACGTAATTTATTCGATCCTTAAACGAATATAAATAAAATAAATAGGTATCTGATAATACGTACCCAAACTGCCCACCTTATCCTTCTTGACATAGCGCTAACTGCATTCAAAAGTTCCACGTAGTCTAATTAGAATCTCGAGTGTTATTATATGAAAATCTGTACGACACCATGATCCTTTCTGGGCAAATGATCTTCATTTTGAATTCGAAAGGCTGAAATGGCATGGGTGAAATTGGTTTGCCCTCAGGATGTTAAAAACCGAACTCTGACTAATCTGCATTGGTCTTTGATCTACCGTTGACTCTTCCATAATTTCAATCAGAACAGCTTCATTTTCTGACGTTGTAGGACGTCTAACTTTAGTTTTCTTAAATTGATCAACTTCTCTTAATTTTTTTTTCGAGTCTTTTGAATGCTTGGTTGGAAGGAATGGTATAGCCTGGCATGTAGACGAATAGCAGCATCGAAATTTCTATCATACTTTCCCAAAGTTAGAAGCATATCGTTTTTTTTTTGGAATTCGAAAGCACTGTTAGTAAAAGTTAAAAATAATTTGATTGTTAGAATTAATTTGTCATAATTTTGGTGCAATCATTGCCATCTACACGTTATTTATTATTTATAAAAAAATTAAAGGCACAGTAAAGTTAAAATTGTTTTTGTTTTTATTTGCTTAACCTTGAGATTTTGTATTGTTATCGTATTATTATACGAAGGATGCAACGGCAGCTCTTATTTTTAGTTTTATTTCCCTGAAACAGCGGTCTTTAGTTGAACGTGTGACGTCATCTGTTACACGGGCGGCGCGAAGCATAATACGGCGATACAATTCATCTCAAGTTCTCTCTCGGTTAATTATTCATTAAATCAAGATTACCTATTCGTATCTGCATTTACAACTTTATTTACTTTTATTTACTTATACTGTGTATTTTATATATGGTAAGTAAGATTATTTTGTTGAAAATGTGGTAAATGTAGTGTTGCAGTTGCATTGACTCATCATCAATATGGTTTGTTGCTGTGTTGTGGGATGTTCAAATAATCCAAAAAGAGACAAGAATTTTTCATTCCACGCCTTTCCTGATAAAAATAAATATCCCGAAATTTATAAAACATGGTTAGTCAAAATTAAACGTCAGAATTTTTTGCCAAATAAGTATACCCGCATTTGTTCTTTGCACTTTACGGAAGATGATTACGAAAATTCTTTGAAGAAAAAGTTAATGCCGAACATGAAAACGTTGCCATTATTAAAAAACACTGCAGTCCCGTCATTGTTTTTAACAGGCAAATCAACTCCACCTTCCACTAAAATACGAAGAGTTTCAAATTATTTGCGAAAAAAAAGAATTAAAAGAAATGTATAGTTCAAATAATAAAGAAATAGCAAGCACTTCAAGTACTTCAACCACTAATAGGACTAGTAAACATCAGTCTCAGACAATGTGTAGAAAGATTGCATATAAAGAAGTGTATAGTTCTTCAGACTCTGAAATGAGCGAACTAAATGATATAGAAAGTAATAATAATAGTAGTGTAGACATTGGTATACAGTGTGAAATCGGCTTAGAAATATTTAAAAATTATGTCACAAACAAACAAAAAAATGATCTTGATGCATCTTTTCATGAAGCTGAATGGAGTGATAGTGATGACAGTTCGGATAGCATTGATGAAAAAAGTTCTGAAGGAACCGATTTGGATATGGACAAAAAACAACTAGACGTTACTGCAGATGATAATATTGTTTCTTTGAACGATTGCATAGTTTTAACTTTTGGACAGAATATTTTACAATTATTTAAAATTTGTCATATTTGTGGAAAACGCGTAAGTGCAGTGACCCATTCAAAACGAGGATCAATGGTAATCATAAAAACTGTTTGCGTAGCTGAACATATTTTTAACTGGCGCTCTCAGCCTATAGAGAATAAATTTTCTGTAGGAACAATAAAACTGTGCGCTGCCATTTATTCTACAGGTCTGAGTTTTGAAAATTTTACAATGTTTGCCAAGGCTATGGGATTATTAACCGTTAGTGCTACAACATTTTATTCAGTAGTTCGGCGTTTTGTAGGACCTGTCATACGCCAGGTTTTCAGTGAGCAAAGGAGTGCAATATTTGCTTCCCTAAAATCGGAGGAAAATGTAGAAACAAGAATTAGCGGAGATGGGCAATACGATTCGCCTGGTTTTTGTGCTAAATACGCCACATATTCAATAATGGACCTGAATACAACAAAAGTTATAGACTTTATGGTCGTTCAAAAAGGTATGGTTACAGGCGATTTAGAAAAGGCGGCATGTGACAAAATTCTCCATAAATTAATTCATGAAGATTTAAAAATCAGTGTATTTTTGTCAGACAGACATCGAGGCATCCGACATTTATTACGTACTAAGTATTCGGAACTCAATCACCAGTTTGACGTATGGCATATGGCAAAGAATTTGGCGAAAAAAATCAAAACTGTAGAAAAGAAGGCTCCTCTTCTGGCCGCTTGGAAGTCAAGCATCGTCAATCACCTATGGTGGGCAGCACAAACTTGTGGTGGTGATCCAGATTTACTTATAGAAAAATTCTTGTCGGTTCTACACCATATCTGTAATATCCATTCGTGGGAGGGCAACAGGTTTACAGCGTGTCAACATGAACCTATAGCCGAAGAAGATGCAAGAGATGTAGCATGGCTATCGCCTAAATCCAACGATTTTACTATGCTGAAATCTATTGTTGACAATAAGCAGTTTCTATGTGATTTACGCCATGTAAATTTATATTGCCATACAGGCGCCTTAGAATCGCATCATAATGAGCGATTAAAGTACTTGCCAAAAAGAAGTCATTTCTCTTATGATGGTATGGTTTTGCGAGGTATGTTAGCAATATTGGGCCATAATTTTAACGTATCGAAAGACGTTGTTAGCGACTCTCAAAAGTATTCGAAGATCTCGGGAAAATGGGTGTATCGGAAGATATGCAGAAAAAAAAATTATGACTGGAGACAAGATCTCGTAAAAAATGTCTGCAGTTTGGCAAGGGGTGACTACGTTGTCGATGTTGATCAACAAGCGGAATACGCTGGAATGGTATCTGAAAATATTGCACCAGTTAGTAAACCGTCTTTAGATACCACCCGACAACAATATTACTCAAGATTTGGCTCTACTCCTGTTTAGAAAAATCTATGATACTATAGTACTATTCAGTACTAAAAATTGTTATAAAAGTTTATTGTTTATTTTTCTCAAAATTCGCCATGTTAAAGTTACATTTTTAGTTTTCCAAAATTATAACTTTTCTCACTTATTTATTATTTAAATAAAAGATAAATACACGTATAACATGTTCATTTTATTCGTAAATTACAAGTACACTTTGTCTAATCAAAATAATTGGCATCTTCTCCTTGCGTTGGTATAAATCCAGTGTAATTATTGTCAGCTTCCGGGTATTCTTCTCTAATTTTTTGGATAACACATGAAGGAATGATTTTTCTATTGTGTTTACCTAAAGGAACCCATCCATTTATCCAATAAACAAATTGCTTATAAGCAATATGTCGCCATAAATTATTTGTGGTCTCTTTCAGTCTTTCTTTCTCGTAGGAAGAGGCATGCAATAACAAATGATAACGAGCAGCCGTGAGAGTGTCAATATTTAGGACAACTTTTTCAAAAGATGAATGTAACGTAATGCAATCACAGCTACCCATAACAGTGCAAATTTGTTCGAAATCGTTGCAACAAATACTCTCCATATCCGTCTGCATTTGGACACAAAAACCGCAACTGCACCACAACAGATTTCCTGTTCTTCCTTTAAATTTGTCTATATCTCCCGGATTCTTCTTCTCCAGATTTGTTTGGGAATATCGGGGCTCAAATGAGTAAGGACAAACACCTTCCATTTTAAGAACTTTGTCAATAATGTCGGTTGTTCGTATCGCGCCCGTATAATGCGACCGCAGCAGCTAGTCTGGTGTGTAACAGATGACGTCACGCGAGATTTTAAAATCGCTGTATCTCGGAACTCCTTCGTCAAAATAATACACAACTTGCGGGAGCCGAATCGGTATTTACGCTGCTACATATTGCGACCAAAAACGAAAAATCGATTTTTTTAACTTTAGTGTGCCTTTAAGACGAAGCCGTTTAAGGAAAGTAAAATGTGTTGCCTATTCGGACTTGATCCAGGCGTGAACAAATGAAATAATCACCCTGTACTATCTTAATAAAGGTTTTTTTTGAGGTGACGTCATTAACTTTTTGGCATAGATTTAAACATAAATTGTCACACGTATACAAGCCGGATTACTTGATCAACATTCGCGAAAGTCAAATTACTCAGTCCTGACATAAATGTATCAGTTCATTTTTTTTCTCATTTTTAGACATCATATATTGTCATTTGTCACAACAAAAGTAAAAGGACTACGACCATATTGGATATTTTAGAGAAAATTATTTCATGAAGATCTGTATGATATTAATAATTTACGCTATGAAATCTAGCAAATATTTTAAGGCTAATAGAAACATGGTAAATTCTTAATCAAAATTTGTCCGTTTATGCCGTTCTCCCCCCAATCAATCAATAGAATTTCCTATATACAAGAAATAACAATTTGGTTATAAACTTATAAATAGGCACAGGGGCAAGACTAATTTCTTAATGTAGCTATATTTTTAAAAAGCAATTTTTATGGCTAATTACTTTTTACATTTTGCCATTTAAAAAAGTTTAAAGACTTTCACAGCAGCAACTAAACGTTCTTAAAATGTAGTTGAAACATATGTACTCGTACTGATATCTCCAAAAATAGATTTTTTGAAACTTTACTTGACATTCTAATTATTTCATATTATTTTTAGGTTAAAAGTAACTTCCACTATCACTATACTATGAAATCACCAGTACATTTGATGTTATTCACGTTGGAAATGTCAATTAAAAAATACTTTGCCAACAGGATATGTTATACACAAAACAAAATTCCAAACTACAGTATCAAAAACACAACCAGCTGTGATTAATTCGTTTTTCAATAACATGAGAAATTGGTATTTTATTCAGTAGATAAGTTTTTTTTTTTTAGAAACAAAGTGATGCTCCAGAGTCACAATCGACCAGATATTTTGTAGATGAGTAGTTTTTTTAGAAAACTGATCGTAAAAATGACAAATCTTTTTAATTAAATACAATTAATATAAATATTTAAATGACTGAACAATTTTGTTTGAATCGGAAAATATCAAAGTAAGTAACACTTGGATATTGAAAAAAAAAATTAAATAGATTGATTGATTGATTAATTTTTTTGAACCACCTGCATAAGCAAATCTAAAAAATATAAATGCAGTGATAAATCACAAGTATAGAGTAGTGAGGCATGCCTCCGTCTGAAGCTGGCCTACACGGCGATGATCAGCGCTTATTCCTGTCGAAAGCGCGTACTTCAAAATATGTTACCAAGACGCGTTTTAATAAATCACAGTGTTCCATAAAAGTTATTTGCTATATCTTTAAAATATATTTGAAGTAACAGATATTAAAACAAAAACTAATAGTCAATTTTTCCAGGGGAGGCACTGCCTCCCCTGCCTCCCCTGACGAGCCGCCACTGGTATAGAGTGATAATATTGTTACAAAATAAACCCATACACCACCCCGGTACGACGCCTATGGGCCGTCGAGAAATTTCTAGTATGCACGGCAATATTGGATGACTCGTCGTCGGTGACGAGCAGCATTCGCTAAAGAAAAGCCAGGAAGCGGAAGTTGCGATGGGTATTCCAGAAAGACCTCGATAACAAAACATCTAGAAGTTTATGTATGGGCTTAAATAGAGGCCCCCTTGGGGAACGGGTCAGTCTCAACCAACAAGTGAAGTCCAGACAACGAGAGAAGGAGAGTCTAGTCAAATCCATTCCAGTCAATTCGGAGTTGTTCTGTATATAATCGTTGTATAGTTAGTCGTGTAAATTTGAGTTACTAAGAAATACATTGTTGAGTTTTACCCATGCCGATTTTAAATCACCGCTGAACGTAACAATATTTTGCATAAATCAAAGAGGATTTAACTTTTTGGGAGGGGATAAATGAATAACTACATTTTGATTAACGATTTACCATGATTATGATAACCTTAAAACGTTTGCAAGATTTCAAAGCATTCGGTTTTGCAGTTCCTAATTTATTCAATACGATAAATTGACTCATTCATTAATTTTTTTTTGAGTCATTCTGTATAAGCAAGTCTAAAAACTATTTTACCATCTACGTGATTTATTCGTAATACACATAAAATTTGACAAAAATCGGTTCGAAGATTATTTGTCTAACAAAAATTAACACAGACGGTGGACAGACAAACAGACAGACAAACGGAAACGGAGAAAAAATATGAAAGTAATATTTATTAGCTTACGCTCAGGAAGTAATAACTTACAATTTTATTATGTGAGTAAGCACTTGCTCAAGTTCTTTCCGTGTATGTGCATCATCTGTGATAAAAATTACACCACAATGACAGTATGGATCGCCGTTAAAATAAGAAAATTTGAAACTAAGAGCTGAGAATGAGAAAAGTAAAAATTTAATCTGTGAGGAGTTCTCTCACAAGATGAGAGACAAAATATTAAAACTGAAAATGTCGAGAGACTTTTACTGAAGCTGTTTCCTACCACTGAAATGTGCATATTTTGTGTTAATCCCATTTTAACGCAGTTGCTGAGACAACTAATTCCATTTCTGCATGCCGTATTATTAAAAAGAAATAAACGGTGCTGTTAGTCCTGAATGCTCTGAACAGTCCTGTTTGCTCCCGATCAGATCCATCTCATAATTTCTGTTTATTTTACGCTTCACTGTATCACTTCTCTGAACAGGAGTTTCTTTCAAATTATGCACAGCTATTGGAAAAAGTGCTGATTTTTATCTCATGCGTCAGCTTCTCTCTAAACTGATAATACATTCATTCAAATCGGTGATAAAACTGTTAACAATACTACATACACTTTTATGTAACTAACGTGACGTATAAATATTGATACCCCGGAAACGATAGCGAAATCGAATCTCCCTGATTCATACAATTTATTATTTATCTTGAGTCATATTTATCTTGGCCGTTATCGCTCGTATTAGTAAAATTGGATGCATCGAACCGAAACGTATTATTTGTATCGAAATGATTCGATGTATTATCAAATCAGGATCAAAATAGATGGAAAACAGAAGGGTGGAATTATAAGGGGATAAAGAAATTAGGATGGGATTGGTATAAGTAGGGTGAAGGGCCATTACAGAATTTGTACAAGGAGGCAGTCATAAAATATATGGCAAGTAAGGGATTGCGTTTATAATTGAAGTTTTTATTTACAGCCACGGAAATAAAGCCATTTGGATGATTACAAGGCCAACAATTTTATACATGCAAGATCTATAACATAATATATTATGGCTTCGTGAACATTTAATATTGGCGTTTTTAATCACGGCAAACTCCGTCTAGAACATTTACTTTGGCAAAACGACAAAATAAATACGGATGGATTGTTTGCACGCTTGAATGTTTTTGAAATCACAATCATTATGAAAAATTATGTGTACAGATAAAATTTTTATAACAAAATACGGTAGAATAATTTGTTAGTTGTAAAATTAAATTGTTAAAAGTAAAATCTACTTTAAATGTACATGTGTGTACATAATAAAGCAAAAATTGTTAAATTAATACGAGAATAAACAAATTACACCTTGTTATTCAAGTTACCCTCAAAAATTGTAGTGTTTTAGAAAAATAAAAAAGAATACGTATTAATAACTGTGGGATACATAAACTCGACTCAAGAAAAAACATTGAGTTCTTCGCCTCTAAAATACAATAACACAAATCCACTTTTTTCCGAAAAATTATAATATTTGATTAAGCGATTTTAATTTTTTTAATGAAAAACCTTATAAGTTACAATAAAGATATGTATATAACGTTAAAGTAAATGTAAAGGAGCGTGCTGGGCGTCCGTTTCAAATGAGAATGAAAAATAAGTCTCTCTCTGTAAAATAGTGATGATAATGTTATCTCTTTCGACCTAGTCGGTTTCAAGACAAAAATCAATTTTTAAATGTAAAGGATACATCTATATCAAACAATCTTTCTACTGGTACTGGTTTCATCGAATAAACCAAAAAAGAACATGAGATTAAGTAATCAATTTTTGGTGGAGTTGAATGTCCAAATTTTGCTTAACGCGTTAGCACCATCAGGACGGTGCACTTAAAATTTCAGATGAATCGGCCCGACAGTTGCAGAAATTAGATGTTCCTCAAACTGACCCTGCTATAACAGAAACCTCAAGTCTATTTATGTAAAAAATATTCCTCATATAATTATTGATTTTTTGCTCTACCATAAAAAAGTTAGAATGACATCCTGTTGTAAGTAGCGTTTTATATAATCATTCGAGGAGGCCTCGTTTGAAGAAAGCGGCGAACTCTAAAGTAAATGTTAAAACTTTTAGTACAAAAATTCCAAACTAGAAATAATTATATAATAACTCTCAACTAAACTTCTTTTTGGTCTTGTGAGAAAATGGTTCCTGACTTTCCTACCGTGAACTAAGTTTTACCATGTTTTTTATTAATTGTGTGTTGTTATAGGATCAATTAAAAACTTTTCATTAATCTTGGAAAGTAGACATGCATTGTCTTTGAGGTGATTTAAAATTTATTAATTTTTAAACACCAGATCTTATTAATGTATTACATACTTGCAAGAATCATAATCGCAGTTAATGTAATTTAATCGAGTCATGTATGCTATATTTTAATTAGGTCCACGAAATCCTACCTCAAAAAAAAATCACTACACATGCTTAAGACTTACCGCTTTTTAGTCCTTCTAAC